GGGGGTACCTCAGCCCAGCCTGCTCCCTCTCACAGTGTGGGAGCCCTCGGGCATCCTTAGTGCTGCTGCCGAGGCAGGAGAGGCTCCCGCCACCCGCCACTGCTGCTGCACTTGCCAGCCATGAGCCTGGCTCAGGGCTCTGGCTTAGCAGCACTTCCCCGTGGGAGCACATTGACCACCAGGGGGAAGTTCCTGCATTGAGGGTCTGCCCCTTGGTGGCCAGTGCACATCACAGCGACTGGTCATTCTACTGTTTGGTCTATTTGCATATTAGCCTTTTATTATCTAGGTCCCGGATATAAGGTCACAATAAAATTGCTGATTGATTTGATGGCTTTGATTGACAGCTCATTTCTGTCACTTAAACTAGCATTTTAAATATATGAAAACATAAATGATTTTTAGCTTAAGCACTTCATTACCTATACAGAATGTTATAGAATTTTTTTATTTCTGGACAAATGCCACATGGAACATGTGCTAGGATTTTTTTTCCCCTCACCATTGGGATATCATGTAGTGTTCCTTACACTTTAGTCAATACAGGGTATTATTATTATTATTTTTAAGTTTCCAGTTTTGGTTAGTAAAAATTATTATATTTCATTATCTATTAAGTAAGTATTATACCATATACATTTTTCATCTGTGATTTCATTCTTTTTACCTTTTTGCTGGATTTGTTAATGTTTGGCAATATATTTGTAGAATATCAAAGTTCATCTGGACAAGCTCGGAGAGCAGATCGCAGTCATTCACGAGAAACAACCAGATGTTATCCTCGAAGCCTCTGGACCTGAAGCTATTCAGATCCGGGATACACTCACTCAACTGGATACGAAATGGGATGGAATTAACAGGATGTACAATGATCGTAAAGGGTATGTGTAAATTAAGTTAAACTTTAATTTAAAAAATAACTATAAGCTCATGAGCCATGACACATGTACATTAAGATTAACGAGAGTATGTTTCACATCCTTGGAAGAGGCTCTTTTTAATAAATTGTGTTGAGTGTAGTTTCTTAAAGAAAGAGGAAAGAGATTACATACAGGTGATCATTTGCAACATAATATCTTAATAATTAAAGGAAGCACCTTTAATTTTTAATATCTAAATAGTATCCATTTTCTTTAAAATAACTTAAGGGTTTTCATTAATGTTCACTTTCCCAACATGTTGATGATTAATGTGAGAGACACGAGCAGATAATTGGAATCCATATATAACCACAAACTCTTTAAAAATAACGTGTTAAGTAAAATGATTTTGAGCCTCTGTCTTTCTAGATTTTGACCAAGCCTATTAATAGGTGGAATTAAAAAAAAATGAGATGATTTTTGGCAGTAACTGGGTATATAGTAGAAAGGCAAATAAGATGTGAAATAATAGCCCAATATAAAGTACCATGTAAGAGAAAGTTAACACAGAAAAGTCCATTGGAAAACTTTAGAGACATATACACAAAAATTAGGCATCATGGTCTTCATCTTTTTTTTGTTTTAGCCTATAATCACATATGTGTGATTATAAAATCCTTGAAAAGATATCTTTCAGTGGCCTTTTGGTATATTTATTTGTATGGATTTTTAAATTCATCTGTATGCATTTAGAGAATATTGTTTTAAGTATACCTTTATGCATACTTCTATTTAATTAGACTTGTTTATTAGATAAAGATTAAATTGTTAAAAGTAATAGCATCTTTTTTTTTTAAAAAATATATTAGATTGATTTTGTACAGAGAGGAAGGGAGAGAGATAGAGAGTTAGAAACATCGATGAGAGAGAGTCATCGATCAGCTGCCTCTTGCACACTCCCTACTGGGGATATGCCCGCAACCAAGGTACGTGCCCTTGACCAGAATTGAACCTGGGACCTTTCAGTCCCCAAGCCGACGCTCTATCCACTGAGCTAAACCGGTTTTCGGCAAAAGTAATGACATCTTAAGGCTCTGCATTGCGTTATGAGATTGGTTATACTCTTGCCAACAGTATATGTGAAAGTTAACTGAATGCTTGTTAACAAGGAAAGGGTTGTTTGTTTGTTTTTTTCAGACCTCTGCCAATTGTATAGTGAAGATTGCATCTCAATAAATTTTCACTTCTTTGTTAGCGACATTTCAATATTCTTACATATGTTTGATGGCCCCAGTGTTATTTCTTCTGTCAGTTGTTAGGTCATATCTTTGCTCAGTTTTCTATTATGTATTACTATTTATTGATTAATTTATAAGAGGTTTTTTTCTACATTAAGGATATTACCTATTCATGTTTCTTGTTTATTGCTTAGTCCCAGCTTTTCATATGCCGTCTAATTTAATTTTGTTAACGGTATGTTTTTGATGTATGGGTTTAATTTTATATAATTATACTTTATGAGTCTTTTTCCTTCGTGATATTGGTTTGTTTAATGCTTACAAATTACTTTTTGTGTGATGTTATTTAAATATGTATCCTTTAAAAGCAATTTTGTTTGATTTAAAATTATCATTTAATAGCTAAGCCACCTGAATTTTATTTTTAAATATGTTTTGTATTAAGGCTCCAGGTGGGTGGTTCTATATACTGACTGTTCATTATCAAGCCTAGGGACCCAGGTAGGCAATGGTAACGTCATCAGAGACCAGGAACTGAGGTGGTGAATGTTTTTGGGGAAAGAGATCAATGCCAGTTGCGATATTAAAGAAAGCAAACTTGTATGTTTCTAGATTAAGGCTTGGATTTTGAGTCCTTTGACTCTCTGGAAGTCCATAGACCTTCACAATTTCATACTGCCTCCCATATGAACTGACCGTGATCAGAAAGGAGGTGATGACTTAGTGCCTCCTAGTTGAACATTTCTCCCTCTCTCTCTCTCTCTCTCTCTCTCTCTCTCTCTCTCTCTCTCTCTCTCTCTTTCTCTCTCTCTCTCTTTCTCTCTCTCTCCCTCCCCCTCCCTCCCTCTCTCTCATTTAATCTATGGCTATACTGCTTAGATTTATTTGGTTTACTGTTTATATTCTCAGTGTCTTTGGAGCGCCTTTCTAGCAACATCTTTTCTTTATTATTGCAGCATCCCCAAAGCTGAAATTTGTGGCTGTTATTTAGTTACTGCACATTTTTACCGAAGTCGATAAATATTGTTTTAATGGTTTTTCATAGTATTCTGTTTGAAGTGCTCTTAATTTTGTCATGCCCAATAGAATGTTGCTTCCTGTGGGCACTTAACAAATATTAACTACATTTTCAAAATTATGTTCATGGGCGAAGGAAAAATAAACATTATTTTAGAGTTAGAATTGTCAGGGATTATTTTATTATTTTTTAAAATAGTAATATCTTTTTATTATATAGAATACAAATTATATTAATATTAAAATCTCAGCGGTATCTTCCAAGCCTTTCCCAGCACCACTTAACGAAATGAAAAGGCAGAAGGAAAGTGTTTAGGATCTGACTGCAGTAAAACTTATACTTTTTTATACTTATTTTATACATTCTAAATACGACTAGCACTGGGCTTTGACTTTATCTTATTTCTAAAGGAGAGAGGATTAAATGGGCAACTCAGTAGTCCTTTGTCTCATTGCCTAACCTGGCTTTGCAGGCACTTCCATACTGTACTGTGGATTAGTCATTGCACAGAGGGTGTTAGTTTGCTAGAGTTACCTTAATAAGACACCACAGCTTGGACGGCTTACTCAACATACATTTATTGTTTCCAGTTCTGGAGGCTGTAACTCCAAGATCAAGGCTCCAGCAGGGTTAGTTTGTATTGAGGCCTTTCTCACTGGCTTGCAGTTGGCCACCTTCTCCCTGTGTCCTTTATGTCTTTTTCTCTCTGCTCTTTTGGACACAGTGAACGATATCTCTGGTGTCTCTTCCTTGTCTTATTAGGATACCAGTTGTGTGGGTTATGGCCCCACCCTTAAGACCTCATTTAAAAAAATTACCTCCCTGAAGGCCCTATCTCCAAATAGTCACTATAGGGGTTAGGGCTTCAACAAATGAGTTTTGGGATCACAATTCACTCCATCACACAGAGAATAAGGGAGGGAAAGGAAATTTTGAAGTGTTTTGGCATTTTGATTTTTGTTCTACCTGAGAAGTAAAACACCATAATTTTTTTCCTAAAAGAATAGAGTAATCATTTCTGACATTTCATTTAAAGTTGGGTGGGTTAACTGCCTGTAGCTAATCCATCTTGATTTTCCAAACTGAAGAAGGCTGTCTTTTCAGTTAATAAGCTGCCTAGTATGTGTGCAGGCATGTATGTGAAAGAAAGGGGGGTAGGATGGTGCTTGAGCCAGTTTCTTGGTACGACACCTTTCTCTAAAAGGAATCATTAACTGTAACCCATTATGAAAACTGATCCTAGAGCAGTGAGTTGTGAATTCACTGATCTTTGGAACTTTCAGTTTAAATTAGATTTGAATTTATTTAGAAAGAATGTTTCAAAGCAGTCCTGGAAAGTTTGGAAACCTATTTTATGTTCATTTTTGTCCTCTAGTTACGTTGACAGGTCTATGGAAGAATGGATAAAGTTCCACTGTGACCTCAATGAATTCAGCTTATGGGCAACGGAAGCTGAGGAGTTACTGGCTGATGCCTTGGCTCCAGATGGTGGCTTGGACCTAGAGAAAGCCAGGGTCCACCAAAAGGTGAGAGCTCTCCATCACAGGATGCAGATCTGCTACTAACTGCCATATTCCTTTCTTCTTCTTTTTTTATTTTTTTTATTTTTTTTTTATTTCAGAGAGGAGGGGAGAGGGAGAGAGAGAGAGAAACATCATTGATGAGAGAAAAATCATTGATCAGCTGCCTCCTCCATGCCCTCCACTGGGGATTTGATCCCGAAACCGTGGCATGTGCCCTGTTCAGGAATCGAACTATGATCTCCTGGTTCATAGATCGATGCTGGACCACTGGGCCACACTGGCTGGGCCATATTCTTTTAGTATAGGGGTGTCGAACTCAATCAGAGAAGGGGCCAAAATCTAAAATCCAGCCTAAATCGCGGGCCGAATGGTTTACTGAACAGTCATAAACTGTCATTGTGATGGAAACGCAGCAGAGTGCAGTGATGACAGCCCGGTGCGGGCCACATTGCAAGGCCTGGCGGGACGGATTTGGCCCTCGGGCCTTGTGTTTGACACATGTGTTTTAGTATGTGGCATTTAAGATATATTTAAAAAGTTAGAGCTAAATATATGAATTTTTAGATGCATTACAACCTGTAAATTTTATTCCAAATCTATTTTTCAGTCATAAAGGCTTAAGAAACATTATTTACATTTTTAATTAGAATTTTAGTGAAATTTAATTAAAAATACTCTGTAGTGGCTAATATGAAAAAAAAAATTATTTAAAAAAATTATATTTATGCCTGGCCAGTGTGGTTCAGTTGATCTATGAACCAGGAGTCATGGTTTGATTCCCAATCAAGGCACATGTCTGGATTGCAGGCTGGATCCCCAGTGTGGGGCATGCAGGAGGCAGCCAATCAATGATTTTCTCTCATCATTGGTACTTCTTTCTCTCTCTCCCTTTCCCTCCCTCTCTGAAATCAATAAAAGTACATTTAAAAAATTTAAAAATATATATATTTAAAATAACATACCTAAAATTTTGTACCCAAGACTAAGGCAGAAAGATATCAGCATACCTCACCCCTGTTTTCTGTACTTAGCACTTATTGCCACTTCGTATTATTGATAATTATTATAAAAGTAAATTATTCATGAGCTATGTCAGGGCAGCTGCTCATGTAAGTCTAATTCAGTCTTGGAAAATATAACAGTAGCAAAATCAGTTCTGCTAATAAAATAGGGCTTTAAACATAATGGTCAAAAAGCAAGCAAAATTTCTATTTACCATTGTTAAAATATTTTCTCTTTTATTATATTTTAAAAATGTATTTTATGGAGAAGGTTTATGAGGCATTAACAAATACATTTATTTTTTCTCATATACATGTTATTTTTAGAAATATAGATGAGTGCCTAAATTTATCTTTAAAATATTCTCTTTAAATCTGTTGCTTAAAAATTTAGAGACCATTGAAGCAATGTCTCAAGAAAATGTAGTTTACCTATCTGTGGTAGGACATAAGGGCATATAGATTTATTTTTCCTTTTTTTTAAAATTTATTTTTTATTAAAAAAAAAATATTTTTATTGATTTTTTACAGAGAGGAAGGGAGAGAGATAGAGAGCTAGAAACATCGATAAGAGAGAGCCTCCGACCAGCTGCCTCTTGCACACCCCTTACCGGGGATGTGCCTGCAACCAACGTACATGCCCCTGACCGGAATCGAACCTGGGACCTTTCAGTCCGCAGACCGACGTTCTACCACTGAGCCAAATCGGTTTCGGCTTATTTTTCCTTTTGATAAATGCTTTCAAGCACATATTTGGGAAAAGATAAGCAATCCCATTTAATCAAACCTGATTGATGCTTATGCTTCAGTTGTAAACAGCTGCTATTTTCTTCATATTATTTATTACCCTGTTTCACTGTATGACATCCACAAGCGTGGGTGAGATTTCAAAATGGATTTTGTGTAGTGCACTTACTGAAATTTAATGAAAATCTTTTTAAGTGCCTTTTTCATGAACATAATGTATCCCATGACTTTGTTCCTCTAGCACGTAAATTAATGCCTGGGAACCTGGGGGATTCCTTGCATCAGGAAATCTTAACTTAGTGTCAGAATTCATCTTGGGTTGTCCTCTGTTGTAGGAACTTGAAGAAAGCATTAGCAGTCACCAGCCCGGCTTTGCAGCCCTGAACAGATCCTGGGATGGGGTTGTCCAGAGACTCGGCCCCATGGATGGGAGCGCCTTAAAAGACAAGCTGGACAGCCTAAATCAACGTTGGGCTGCGATCATCGCAGAGGTGAAGGATCGGCGGCCAAGGTGACTGAGCTTCTCTAAGCTAAGGGCACAAGGGTAGACATTTAGGGCAGGACCTTTTAAAGATACAATCAGAGAAGTCCAGAGTTCTCTTGTTGCCTGATATTACTGACAGTTAAGACCTGCACTGTTCATGTTATGCATTTTAGAACCCTCCTCCTAACTGAATGTTCAGGCTGTCCATGAAGTCCCACCTTTTGGTGCAGTAGGATACACGTGAAACTTGCCTTGTTCTTTTTATTTCTGACTGTTGATTGTGATACGGTGACCATGTGGCAGGAACTGGAAGTAGTTGAAAGAACACTCTGGACTTCCGGTCTGAAGATCAGGGTTCAGGGTCAGGCTTCTCGCTTGCTCATTTCCTGACTGGACCTTGGGATCTTCATTAGTAATCCTCTCGCTAGGTTGTTTTTAGTCACAAGGTGTGCTGTGCTCATATATGTGTCAATGCTTGACAAATAATAAATACCTCAACTCTTCCAGGTAACAGGATACATATGATGTATTGTTGTTTGTTCTTATGCTAAATTATGTGACAGTGCCCCAGATTTTATTAGGGTACCTTTGGTTGTAAACACTTTACCAGTGACTATAAAGTTCAACATTATACGTGTGCTATATATTGCTTTAAAATTATTTTTGAAGTTATTTTCCTGAGATGGTTAATAACTAATGGATAATTTCTACTTTGCTTAATACATTCTGTCTTATAAATGACCTTTTTGGGGTGGATTAATGGTAATTGTAGGCTAAAAATTTCCAGGTACTTTTTCCTGCTAATCTTAACTCTGTAGATGATGTATTATTTTAGAGCACATGTGTCAAACACAAGGCCCGCGGGCCAAATCCGTCCCGCCAGGCCTTGCAATGTGGCCCGCACCGCGCTGTCATCACTGCACTCCGCTGCGTTTCCATCACAATGACAGTTATGACTGTTCAGTAAACCATTCGGCCCGCGATTTAGGCTGGATTTTAGATTTTGGCCCCTTCTCTGATTGAGTTCGACACCCCTACTTTAGAGCAATGCTAATATTTTGTTAAAGGCCAACCTAATATCTTTTTAAGTCCAAATACAGGCATACTTTGGAGATATTGTGGGTTCAGGCCCAGACCACTATAATAAATCCATCATTACAATAAAACAAGCCACACATATTTTTGGGTTTCCCACTGCAAATAAAAGTTATGTTTAAACTATACTGTAGCCTATTAAGTGTGTAATAGCATTTTGTCTAAACAATCCATTATGTACCTTAATTAAAAAATACTTTATTGCTAAAAAATGCTGACCATTATCTGAGCCTTCAATGAGTCATATCTTTTTGCTGGCTTGAGGGACTTACCTTCAATTTGTAAGAAAATGCAATTCCTGTCAAACACGGTAAAATGAAACACAATAAAGTGAGGTATGCCTATATTATAACATACAATATTCAAGTATGACTGTTTGGCCTTTGGTTGCTTTTTATAAAATAACAACATCTATCATTTTGTGTGTTTTTGTAAGAAGCAATAGTAGTTTGGGTGTCTTGGTTGAGAGTTTGCCACATAGTGGAGATAGCGTTTGGCACCTTGTACACAAGGCCCCATTTAACTCCATCTAACTATCTGCTAGTACAGGGTTGAGGAACCTTTTCTCTGCCAAGGGCCATTTGGATATTTATACCATCATTTACAGGCCATGCAAAATTAACAACTTAAAAATTAGCCTGCTATATTTGGTCAAATGTTTAATTAACTCACCCCTAATGCCTTGGCAGGGCCAGACAAAATGATTTCTTGGGCCTTATAGTGCCCATAGGCTGGAAGTTCCTCAAGCCTGCTCTAGGTCACCAGTAGGCCCATTTGTACAGCTTTAAAAACTGAGGCTCGAAGAGGTAAGGTCCAAGGTCTCACACAAAGTTATTGATGATGCTAACTTATGCTCTCAAATGCAGTTCTGTACAAACTTGGGAAGGCCACAGATCTCTAGCTGAGTTTTCTTTCTGTAAATAAGAACTCGGATATTTTTGTAGAGGAGTGTCATAAAAATTAGATTAGAGTGTTTATGAAAAGCATCTTTCCTGCAGTGCCCCCTAGTGGGGCTCGAGCCTGCAGCCTGGGCATGTGCCCTTGACTGGAATCGAACCTAGGACCCTTCAGTCCTCAGGCTGAATCTCTATCTACTGAGCCAAACTGACTAGGGCAAGAAGAAAAGATTTTAAGGAAAAAATGCTATGTACTGATGAAGATGCAGTGTTGTCGCCAGGTGGGGTGATGAGCCATGGCATTTAGGCATCATAGGGGAAAGATCCTGAAACAGAGCTTTGAAGCATTTATAGCCATTTCCCATACATTCCTCCTGGGGAGGGCCTTCTAGGGAAAATAAGTAGAACAGGCAAAGGTGGGAGGGAGGCATGAAATAGTATGGCAGGGGAGAGACCTGCCAAGGTTAGAGGGAGAGGAAGGTTCAGGGACCAGGGCCACGATTGGAAGCTGAGGTTCTTAGGATCTTCTATGCCATGCCCATGAGATTTCATGGGGAATCTTTCCAGCTTGAAAATTATCTATTTGCCAGGTCTTCTAAAGAAAAGGAGGTACCCACTGGCATAGTATTAGCAACAATACAGAAATTCTAAAGTTTTTTCAAATGGAGCTCTGTGGGATGTGCTAATTATAGCTTCCAGAACTAACACATTGAAGCCACTACTTATATTTTACTTTTTTTTTTTTTTTGAAAAGAATAATGCACCTCTTCTCTAACATCTGATATTTTAACTAAAGTGCTTGTTTTTATAAGTTCATGGTTTAACATCACTTCACTTAGTCATTTATCTTAACTCAGAGCCACGTTGGCACTTTAAGAGCTTAGATGTTATCATAGTCATCGAAGAAGCGCACGTTTCAATCTATTTTGTATTGAGTGCTTGTAGTTAAATAACTGCACAGGTCAACAGCTCACAGTGTTATTTCTTAATGAGCAATTGTTGTCTACTGTTAGAACATGAATTTAAAGCTTGTTTTTATTCATAGGGATAACATTTAAAATGTAGATTATATTTAGCTAGTCTACAGATGAAAATTTTGTGACTCAAATATGCAGTATTGAAATAACTTGCTATTTCCCTTCATAGATATATTTTCAAAATACTAAATTGGTCATGATTATGAAACATGAAACATTTAAATGCCAGCTTTTTTTTTTTTTTAATATAAGTCTATAATGGTATTTTAGGTGTTTCCAAAGTAGTTATTTTAGTGAAATACTCTTTGATTCAGAGGGTAAATTACCTGTTTTGGTATTTGTAGTCTTAACAATAGTACTGCTGCTTGATATTTTTGTTTTTAATTTTGAAGCAGTATTTCCTCCTAATGGATACTTAAATTTAAAAACTTGTGACTTTCATTAGTTTTTTAAATATTAAAATACCCTCTTAAATATTACTGATTCTCTACTAAATATATATTTATTTAATATATATATATATAAAGTTTTTTTGTGGTTGAAAAGACAAATTTATAGCCATAAAAATATGGTGATACAATGTAATTTATTAAAAAATTGCATAATAATTTAAATTATTAGCTATAAAATTAATGATACCACCCCAAGCTCTAAATTCTTTCTTAAAAATAAATAATCTTGTTTGTCATATGAGTTCTAATCATACTCTCATCTTCTGACACATGGTTTATATACTTATAAATGTTATTCTTATAACATTTAAATGATCTAATTAAGACAGTTTCTCTTTTATTTTTATGACGACTATTTGTGTCCTTATGTCCTTTAAAACTTTTCTTTATTTTCTAGATTTCTTTTTATGACTAGGCTATATTTAAATATCAGTTTTATTTTAATGAACCAACTAGATTTCCATTTTCTAATACTTGTAAAAAAATTCCATTTTCAGTATCTATTCTTTCTTTCCTGTGAATGAAGTGGAATAATAGTTGCCACCTAATGTTAATAATATCTCATATAATGAAGTTTTTCTCTCTCTATGGAGTAATTATGTGCCTTTTCTTATACTTTTAGATCAAAACACTTTTCATGGTTCTTAAAAAGTCTATTATGTTGAACAGTGGGATCTAGTTTAAAAAATTCTCATTATTAAATTTCAATATAATATTCATGATGAGAGAAAATAACAGTCTTTAGTTTCAGTGTTTTTGGGTTTAATAAAGGAAGAATTCTTACATTATCAAATAATTGGCATTGCAGAATGTATACATTATTATTGACACATTAAGACGTATTGAAATAATTATCAGGAGTTATTTCATTTGCGGTTTATTTAGTACAGATATGCAAAGCAAATGTGTGCTTTTCTGCTTAGTTGGATAATTTGTCCCAATATTTTTCAATAATATATTCTTTTAGAATATATGGAGAAAACAAGCAAGTGATGGAATATAGAAGGAGACTAGATGAGATTACCTGTTGGTTAACAAAGGCCGAGAATGCTGTGCAAAAGAGATCCACCACCGAGCTGGAAGAAAATTTCAAAGAATTAACGGTAAGTGGTTTGTCTTTACATTTGCCAATCCTTTTTTTGATGCACGCACAATTACACTAAAAATAAGAACATATTAGAAGAAGAAAAAGGTAAGAAACTTTGGACTTTTGTGGTACATGTGGTGAACTTTAAAGAGGGATACCTTGGTCTTCTAAAGAGCAGCTGTATTTTGTTCTTGCAGAGGTAAGGCTTCCCTCATAAAAATGATAAATCGTGTGGTCTCAGTATTAGACCTAAGGTTTTTAGGATACTTTAAGTAGACATCATCATTGTAGAATAAATTATTGCTTTGAAGTAAAGTTTTTGCTTTTGGATTTAGAAGATAATTGCTAATTACTAGCTATAAAGTTGAGTTTTGTAGAAACAAGAAAACTCTTTAAGTGACTTGAGGCCCAGGGTCATGGTTGTATTAATACAATCTTTTCTGCTTATCTACAACCTACAAGGGTTGTTTATAACTGTTTATTTATACTACGTATAAAATACATAAGGATATATAAATAAATATAATCAAATAGCCATAAATTTTATATCTTTTTGTGTTAAGAATTGAAAGACTTATTGCAGAACATAACATAGTGTCCATATTTTTATTTTATAAAAGAAGAAATTGGGTGAGTATGTGAATGAACACAAAGGCATGCATCAAAGTATGCCTAAAAGGATGCCTACTAATTTGAAGAGATTTTGTCTAAAGAAGTAAGATTGAGGCATTTTGGAAACTATTAGTAACAACAAAAAAATACTATGTGGGAAACAATTACTAAGTTTTCTTTTCAAAATGTGACATCAAATAGCCAACAAACTTGTTCCTGTTTTAACTACAAATTTCATTCGTTTTCTTGGAATATTTGTGGGCCATTGCAAAGGGCAGGACAGTACAATAGGATCTGTAGAGATGAGGTAGAGAGAGATGCATCCAACCCTTTTTATTTTGTTTTGGCCTTTCATTGGAACAGACATCATTTGCATCATCTAAGAACAGAATGTTAAATTATCAATGTAGATATGAGAGGATATGGCTCTATTATGAGACAGGGAGCACCCGAGTGCACATTGCAGGAGGTTGGTCGTTCCCGTGTCAATTACAATTTGTTAAGATATGTTCGGGCTTCTTATAGGTTTATTGTCTACTTAAGAAATTAAAAATTTACATTTGTAAAATACCCAAAGTATGTTAGTTTCTAATATAGTTCTTGAACTTTCTCTAGTGTGACAAACTTCTAATCATACCTCTCTTCTGACACCTTTAGGACTTAAACCAGGAGATGGACGTACAAGCTGAGAAACTCAAATGGCTGAATAGAACTGAATTGGAAATGCTCTCAGATAAAAGTCTGAGTTTACATGAAAGAGAAAAAATGTCAGAAAGCTTAAGAACTGTGAATTCCACTTGGAATAAGGTGTGTATTAAGAATTTCTTTATCATAGAATTTCACTGATTTTACTGTACGTAGGCGAATTATGAATGTCCAAGAACAACCAGTGCTGACTGTGCAGAGAATTCCAACAAACACACTTTGGGAAATACTATTCTGGGATATTTAATTCATTCATGCAGTCATTCATTCCCTGAATAGGGTTTAATCGAACTTTCACTTTATGCCAGTCACCATTTTAATACAGCAAAGAGTATGTCACTCCTTCTAATTTATTGTGGGGAGACAAGTAGCTAAGCAATTATAACATAGAGGGATCCATAGAGATATAAAAGTAGGGCATATACCTGGCCTTAGGAGGTAACTGGATGGTTTTTTGGAGGAGATCATTTCCAAGCTAGTTTGTAAAGGATGAATAAGAATTGGAAAAATGAACAGTGGGGGAAAGGGCACTGCAGAGAGAACAGCAGCAAGTGAAATGGTCTAGAAGAGACAGAGAATGAGCACAATGCACTTGGGTCCTGGAAGTGGCTCAGTATGAAGTAAAGAATGAGTGATGCTGGCAAACATCAGATCCTGGAGGCCGCACCTTGCATCACAAGGAATTTAAGCTGTGTTTTGAGAACAGTTCATCACTTTGAGAGCAGTGGGCAGCTGTCAAAGGTTGTTAAGCAGGAGAAAGTTACCTTTTGTAAGCTCACTATAGCTGAACTATAGTGATGGATGGAGTGATCCTAGGATGAATGTTCTTAGGATATCAGGAAGTCAAGTAACTCCTCTTAGCAAAACCCACTATCAGATCAGGATAGCTGATCTGGAAAGATCAATTAGTTATTAACTTTGTAAAGGGAGTTTCAGGGAGACAGATGATGACTTAGATTTGGACATGTCTGAATATCTAATTGCCAGACTGGAAGTACATTTTTGAGAGTCCTTGGCATCTTTAAACTCTGTGTGGTAGATGTAACCATTAGAAACCAGGACCCAGGGAGAGAAGCCTGAGTCAGTGACAGAAACGAAAACTCCTGCCCTTTAGAATGTTAACATTTGATGGATGGGCAGAGGAGAATGAGCTGGTAAAGGACACTTAGAAGGTCAGAGAGAGGAGGGAGGAAAGTCAGGAATACAGACTGTTCAGAGTTCAAGGGAGCGTGTGTAACAGCATTAAATGTTACAAAGGGCCAGGGCAGCTAAGGACTGGATGGCGTTCTTAATTTATTTTAAATTGATTTCAGAGGCGATGGGAGAGGGAGGGAGAGAGAATCATCAGTAATGAGAGAGAATCATTGATTGGATGACTGACTCCTGCATGCCCCCTGAGACAAGGGAATGTGCCCTGGCTGGGAAAGGAACCATGATCTGGTTCATAGGATGATGCTCAATCACTGAGCCACACGGTTGGGCTGGATGTTATTTTGATAGTAATGTTGGTGGAGTAGGGGCTTAAGCAAGACTGCAGTGGATAGCAAGATCACCTTTATTTATATGGTACTCTTCTCTTTCCACTTGGCAGGATGCTATAGGTATGCAGAGATGTGCCCACTGCACTGAAGGAACGCGGCCAGGAGCCCTGCTCAGTTTCTCAGACAAGAACTGCTGGTAAGATACAGTTTATTCCTTAACCATTTTTTTAAATAAATATAGCAAGACATTATAACTATGTTTATCATATATGAATTAGAGAAAACTTTAAACTGAAAAACACAACACAGTTGTGATCTGTTACTCTATTTTCAATTACTTCAAAGCAATGTCTTCTTTAAACCCAGCACATACTTGCCTACAAGGCACTCGTGAGAGATAAGCTTTTTGCCTTTCTTGGAACAAGAGTGGGACCTGGTCCCCAAGAGAGCCTGGGAAGGGAAGGGAGGAGGCAAGGTGGGAAACTGAGGACATGCGGTTTTTCAGAAAGTCAGCTATAACCAATACCCAACATGCCCTGGGAGGGTGTAATTGCATGCAGATCATGACTGAGAACAAAGGATTAGGTATCCCGGAACCAAGTGGGAGATGAGGTTTTGGAACAGTTCTCCATCCCAGGGAAACAATTTACTGATAGATGCCAATGATCACTTCTGTGTGGAGGGAAAAGTTTTCTCACTATTTCTTTCTCTCCTTGTCCCCATCAGAGTACGGGTTATGGCACCATAGCTATAACACCGTACCTTGCAAGCTCTCTGAAACACCGTGCCCTGCTCTCTCTCTTGACTCTTACTGGCCCTTTAATTTTGGAATTGGAAATTTCAGTAGATGATTTTGTCAAGATATATGCAAACCTGTTGGAGCTTTTAATTTAAATTGTGCTGAATTTATGGATTGACGATATCTTTTAGAAAATTAATTAAGCCTTATCTAATATACCGTATGTTAAAGTGGGCTCCAGATGGCTCTAATAATTCAGCTACCTTGTGTAAAACTAAAGAAAAACAATCAACCTTCTATCTTTTAAAACAGAAGACAAGCACAAACAACTGAGAGAGAATAATATATATCCAAATTTTGAAGAAGACAAGAATCTCTAACTGAAAGTTCTGGAAAAACAATCTCCCAGGACAGATTTATGGATCTGATCACCCAAATTTGATAACATCTATATGTTAAAAACAAAACACACATTAAAAATCCTAAAGTAGAAACAGTGTTTTCATCAATATGGCAAGATTCATCGTTCCTATAAAAAATGAGTCCTTGCAAATAGAAAAGGAAGCAGATAAAGACCACAGTTATAAATTATACTATATTTGGTTAACAAACAAAAAAAGTTTGCTCTCACTGATAATAAAAAACCAGTAAATGAGCACACTGGTGAGCACTGTGTGTTCATCCATTGAGACAGAGTATCATTGGTGTATATCCTGGATGCGGAGTCCACATGTTGCTGTTGCAAATCTCAATTTTCAACTTTTAAGGAAAATTAGCACTGCTATTTTATTTTGCTAATAAATATTAAATACATTACTTTTATTTTCATGTTTTCTGATCTAGTCATTCTGCTTTAGCAAATCGATACCAAAGTGTTCATCAGAAATATGCTAAGTACTCTATACAAATGGAAGGAGCCAACTAAGTATCTAGCTATAGGGAAAGAGTTAAGTAACAGGTAGTGAATATATATACATATTAGAGGTCTGGTGCATGAAATTTGTGCATAGTGGGAGAGTGTCCCTCAGCCCTGCCTGCACCCTTTCCAATCCGGGACCCCTCAGGAGATGTCCCTGTGGGATTGGACCTAAACCCGCAGTCAGACATTCCTCTCACAATCCAGGACAGCTGGCTCCTAACCGCTCACCTGCCTGCCTGCTTGATCACCCCTAACTGCCTCTGCCTGCCTGCCTGATTGCCCCTAACCACTCTCCCTTCCCTGCCAGCCTGATCGCCCCTAAGCACCTCTGCCTCAGTGCAGCCACCTTGGCTTTGTCCAGAAGGATGTCTAGAAGACATCCAGTCTAATTAGCATATTACCCTTTTATTAGTATAGATATTCTTACTTAGGTATTCACAGTGATGTGGATGAAGAATTGCTAATGTTCATATTATAAATTTAAGTGCTTTACAAGCTATCTGAAAAACAGAAAACTATGAATAAGTTGGCTTCATAATTAAGGCAAACCGCTTGACAAAATAAAATAGCAGTGCTAATTTTCTCACAGTTGGTGTATTTCTTACTATTATCTTCTCTTGGTGTCAGTGTTAGTTACTTTTGAGTTATTGCTGCCCTAGAATATTGTATAACTGGGTGTTTAATTGGCTTTACAGCTACCAAAGGTACTGTCGGAAATACCATTGCCACTTCCATATGAAGAAATAAAAAACTCTCACCATTTTTTAACCTAATCTAAATTTTATATAAGCACACAGATGCATGTCAACATTGCCCCACCACAGTCAGAATATCCTGTTGACTGAGTACTTTGCTACATTTTTTTATTTCAGCTCATCCTGCTCCCATAAAGGTGGTGCTAGTGTCCTCTGCATCAGAGCCTCCTGCTCAGGCTCCTCATACTTCGGAAATTTCAGTACCTGATGATCTGGATAAAACGACAACAGAACTAGCTGACTGGCTGATATTGATCGACCAGATGCTGAAGTCCAACATTGTCACTGTTGGGGATGTGGGAGAGATTAATAAGACGATTTCCAGAATGAAAGTAGGTTCATAGGGTAGAGGTTTGTCATGGCAACACCTCGGCACATGGGTAGACATGATCTGTCTGGCTCCCTTTTGTTTGTCCTGAACTCTGGGAGAGTGAGCTTTAAGAACTTCTTTATCTGCCAAACAGCCATCCCAGACTAGCTGGGAAGAGTCCAGATTTTCTTGCATTTGTGCTGTTTTGGTAAGATCACCTTTACCACGTGAGTTGTAGACTCAGTGTATATTTTCACATCTGAAACTGAGATTGTAAATCTAGTCCCATCAGTACAATGTAAACTAGTGTTACAGTTAATGCCTAGTATGATGTATGATAATTTCCTGAAGTGCCTTTTCAACTTTTGCTTTATAATGAGATAATTTGTTTAATTGCTGACATTAGAAGTGAGAATGCCTGACCATCATTTTATATACATATATATGCACACTATGCCATGCTAATTTGTAAGGTTATTTTTCCATATTCAGTGTGTGCTGGCTTCTGGGCTTGTGTGCTGTATAGAGAATAGAGATACGGCACAGAATATACTAAATACAAATTGACAAATTTGGAATGAATCATTAAGTAATGACAGTGATTGCTAACTGTTATTAAGTGCTTAATGTGTGTTGGGCACTTTTGTAAGTAATCTACATGTTTACTTCCTTAACTATCTTTTGAGATAGTTACCACATGTATCCCAGATTACATATATGCCCAGCTATGATGGAGGCACTTAATGTGTGCAAGTAGATGGTCTCTGCACAGAACAGAGTGTAATAGCAGGCATAGGCAGGTGCATATGACGGGATAGGGGAGCCTGGGTGAAGGAGAGAGTTACTGCCACAGCGATGGAAGGCAGACTATGTAGGATTTTCACATGTAGGAACAAGTAAATGGCATCGCTGGTCTGGGGAGCAGAGAGAATAAAGACATGAGGTGGGGGAGCATGGAGGGTGAGGGATACGGGGGTCATCATTTGTGCAGCAAAGAAATGCAGTAGGAAGTGAGATAGCAAGGACAGCTTGAGTTCACGCTGATGGAGCTTGCAGGCCACGCAGAGCCCTTTGGACTTTTCATCTGCAAGCCATGGGCACGTGTTTTTACTCCTTTTCTTTTTTACATTGTGGCTGGAGACTGATGATAACAATGATCTCTCTTAAGCAGGAACAATGGGAATAGTGCAAGAGATGCTTAATACAAAGAAAAGAGCCTTTCTGGGCTGCTAAGACCATGCTGTCACAATTAGCAGAGATTCGGAATAGTAGAAGTGAAATGTAGATGAGGGTTTGATTGATTCAGTTTCGAGTGTGTTGTGTTGAGAGGTTCTTAGGCCATTTAGAAAGAAATGACCAGCATTCATTGCAATGTCTCTCTGGGCCCCGGATTGGAAGTTGTGAATAATCCATTTAGAAATAACATTTGACACTGCAGGAGTAATTGGAGTCTGCGAAATTAGTGAATTCTGAAAGAGGAAGCGCTGGGAGAGAATCTTTGCCATGCCATTTGCACCTATTGGAAATAGTCTTTAGGGCTATTAGTTCCATATTTGAAACACAGCATTTCCTGACATTAACTTTTCTCCCATCCTTATCAAGAGATACGTGTATAGCAACAGTTTTCCGTGTATAAAATTATTTAATTTACAATTATTCAATTAGCATTTTTCTAATACTTCACTGCCATCCCTGAAGGTGACAGTGGTTTGTGTTCATACCCAATGCAGGCCTGATAGGCATCACTGCTAATCTTTTCAGAGCAGTTCTTAGTTTTTAAAGGGACTTCTTCATTTAATCTCCTCAGAACTGACACAGCTTAGCTGTCAGTATCTTACCATTTCTTCTTGTGAAAACAAAAGCACAGACAGGTGAAGTAATCTAGATGGTAAGTGGTAGAGCTGAGATTTGAACCTAGGACTGACTGTGCCACAAACACAGATGCCTCACTGTCCTGTTCAGGAGACAGACAACTTTGATGTCAGTCCACCAGTTTTGCTCCTTAGTGTTCTTGGCGAGCAGCCTATTAACACATCTTAAAAATCATTTCTACTTAAACAGATCACAAAGGCGGACATGGAACAGCGCCATCTTCACCTTGACCATGCTTTAACACTGGCTCAGAATTTGAAAAATAAAGCTTCCAGTTCAGATGTGAGAACAGCAAACACAGAAAAATGTAAGTCCAAAAAATTGTATGACATCATCTACTTTCACTCACACACATATACACCTTTTCAAAGATTATTCAACCAGAAATTAATATTATTTAATACTCTTTATCTATGAATAAATACAGTTTTCCCTTGTTTTTTTTTAATCTTTTGTGTACAGTCAGAATTCCCTTTTGAATTCATCAAAGTATTAATATTATTACATTTAAGTAGTTACTGATTCATTAGATTATTAGCTCTTAAGGTAATATTCCTTTTGAAGGAACCAAGAAAAAAAAAATTAGAGAAACCCACAGGAATGCAAACCCATTCTTTCATTGTAATTCATTCACTAAAACGAAATCTTAGCATGTCTTTTAACTCATCTTCTCAAAATTCAGTCCAAAGATATTTATTGAGCAACTACTCTGTACCTCTGTAGCTGGCAGTAATCTGGGAACACCTTAGCTAAAGACAAAATAAAGCAAAATAAGTAATAAGCAAACAAAGCAATCACAGACAACCACAATTTTTGCTTTGAGATTAATATCTGGCTTAAAAGCACCTGTATGTCATATCAAACAAAGTCTAAATTCTCAAGAATGGGAAGGAAAAAGCAATCTATTAATAAAAGGAGGGAGAAAGAAGCAAAATGGCGAATTCAGGAAAAATAACCCCACTTTGTGAGACACTAAAAGTGTTCTGCTAATGCCTCTGTTATAATAAACCTTGTTGTCACATTTATTTTGAAATCAAAACATACTTTAGGGACTTTTTAGGGCGGTCACCGTCTGCTTTTATCACCCTCTCTTCCATTTCAGCTCTCAGCCTCATCTGTATCGCTCCGTACTGTATATGTCCTTTAAAACTTCCGGACAGTTCTCAGTTCTCATTCTCCTTACCTTTATTCGCATATTTTTTTTTTCCCCTCGACCTTTTCTCCCTGGTGAAATTCTCCTCAGCTAATAAAATGTCACCCACTCAATAAAGTCTTTCCCACCCTGTTCTGGTCCCTCATGTTTTCTATCTTTAGTTCCTGCCATGATCTTTGCTCCCAGAACTTCATTGTGAATCTCACAGTTACTGAAATTTCCTCCATAGATTTCAAATAGTCCCCTTTCTGGGGCCTCCCACCATACTTCATGCAAGCTGTGGACTTAATCTGTGGCAGAATATAAACTGGAATGTATTTTATTACCTTGTTGACTATTTCTCGAGGGGAGAAACTTGACTGTTTCTCCTATAAAAATGGTGCTTGGGTTTCAAAATAAATGTGTGGCAGCAAGGTTGTTGCAAGAGATGAGTTAGCAAAGAGCTTTTACTGTCTCAGCATGTTGCTTTATTTTTTACGGATTCAGCCATTTTCCTTCCTTTTCTGAATTGATGGATTGCTATGTCTATGGAGATCCGGAGGGACCCCATTTCCCATTGCTGGCAGGGGAGCTTCTCTGGTTTAGTGACACCAAACTCTTTGCAAATCCATCTCCATTTTGCCTTTTCTACAGACTTACGTTCCCTCCCCCCATCTTCCCCACCACCTTTGTATTTGTCCAGTTTCTTTCCTTCTCCCAAGTATCTTGCCTTTCCAGTTTACCTCTCTCTCTTTGTTTTCTCTCCATTTTCTTATGTAGAGACTGCACAGTCTTTGTCACGATTTATTATATGAAAAATCATCCTCAGCTTCTACTATCAATAGTAGTAGAAGTTTTTTGCTCTTTTTGCTCTTAATCACAAATAGTAGGATAATATGCTTCTTTTTATGATACACCAGTGATACTTGCAGACACTTGATGTTTTTAGTTTTATTTATTCAATTTTCAGGGTTCTAGTTGAATTGGTCAAAGACAAGTAGAACATTATGATAGATTTGTCTTCTCAAGATACAATCTTAAGCAATTTATTTAAGCTTTTATTCAGACAGTATAAAACCAATCATCTCATTGACACAATTTTTGTTTTAGAATTAATATATGTGAGTATAATTTGCAGGTTTCTGAACAATATTGGAGTGATAACTTTAATGGTTCATGATAGCCTGTATTATCCCAAGAATTTTACCAGAAGTAATGTTATATTGTAATTAAGTTCTTCTTGGCCTGCTACATACCTATAGCCCTTCAATTTTCCATCACATTCACAATATGTTCTAGAATTTGTTTTTAACTTTCTACCTGTTATTCCATGGGTTGTTGAAGATATTGAAAGCTATTGCTTATGAGTACTTCAGTTCAAGATCATGAACTGCCATTGAAGTTATTAATTAGAAGTTTATTTCCTTAGATCTTTCTTTCTTAATTTCATCTTAAAAATGGAAGAGGAAAGAAGGGAGGTGAGGAGAGAAAGAGACTGTGGGTGTTTATTATTATTATTATTATTATAATTATTATTATAATGAAGGGCTGGGTACATAAAACTTGAATTTACTTTTATTTTTAGTGTCTCTTGAACATAGAAAAATATTTCCTTTTAGAGAGATTTTATGCTATAGTAAAACAAAGGTGAAAGTATTCTTAAGGAGTTTTCTTTTCAAATCAAAACTACCTTAGAGCATCTCCTTTGAGGATGACAAGTGATTCTGTCTGCGTCTGTCATATATATATATATATATATATATATATATATATATATATACATACATACATATATATAATATTATATATATATATATATATATATGTATATATATTATTATTGATTTTTTTTTTCAGAGAGGGAGAGAGGGATAGAGAGTTAGAAACATCAATGAGAGAGAAACATCGATCACTGCTTCTTGCACACCCCCTACTGGGGATGCGCCCACAACCAAGGTACATGCCGTTGACTGGAATCGTACCCGGAACCTTTCAGTCTGCAGACCGACGCTCTATCTACTGAGCCAAACCGGTTTCGGCTGTCTGCGTCTGTCTTAAAATACTATTAATACCTTTCTTAAACCAGGTCTTGTAAATATAAAATAAGATAGAAAATTATTTTTCTTAGAACTTTTTGCTTTACCAGTTCACAGTAGTAGATATTTTTTATTGGTAGGCATTTTAGTACATTTAGTATATATATTAACCAAAGAACTTGCATGACTTGTATGCATATATGCATAACCCATGGCCACAGGCAATAGTGTGGTGAAGGCCTGGGATGGGGCAGAAGCCTGGTGGAATGGGGTAATAGGTGGGGGAAATGGGAGACATCTTTAATACATTCAACAATAAAGACAAATTAAAATATATAAAAAACTGCTCATATATAAAAAAAGAAAATAAACAAAAGAGGCCAGCAGTTGGAACAGTAAAAAATAAAATTTAGTGGAGTTTAATAGAAGAATTTTTCTTTAAAAAAGGTTTCTGAAATATATCAACTGTATAGTGTGACTATGTGTCGACTTGCCTCTTTTCTCTTTTCTTTTGCTAGCTTCATTTGTAATAAGTTTGGTTTCAGGCACTTTTCCCCTTTCCTGAGAGTCACTTTCAGGAATTCTTTTTTGTATTGCTTCCTTTAGTGGAGGAGGTGAGGAACCATTGGAACAGCACTCAGCAGAGCTTGGAGTTGCGGCTGAAGCAGCTGGAGGACATGGTGATTGACAGCCTACAGTGGGATGATCACAAGAAAGAGACTGAAGAACTTATGAGAAAATATGAGGCTCGACTCTATAGTCTTCAACAAGCCCGAAGAGATCCACTTAACAAACAAATTGCTGAAAATCAAGTAAGACTCAATAGATACCTTTTGGCGATATTGATTTGTGGATGTTGGGGGGTTTTTGGTTCTGTAGTTTTAAGGATTCTTGTGATGCTTTCCCAAGTTCTTAGAATATGCAGTGAAATTACCGTATTTTTCGGACCATAAGACGCACTTTTTCCCCCCCAGAAGTGGGGGGAAAAAGTCCCTGCGTCTTATGGTCCAAATATAGCCTACACATATACTTTAAAAAAAAAGTTTTTTTACTTGCCCGGCTCTGTGTGGTCTCTGTGTGCTTGCCCGGCTCTAAAATGGTTCTAAATGCTGCTGTTTACTTTACAGGGTTGATTACATGTGTTTATGACTGTGATGTTGGGTTTTAATGCACATAAAATATTTTAGGACACTATTTGTTTCAGAATCTTTTTTTCTTCATTTCCCTTCTCTAAAAACTGGTGCGTCTTATGGTTTCGGAGCATCTTATGGTCCGAAAAATACGGTAATATAAAGCATTTGACCAGGAAGAATTGTGAAAAATTTCTGGAGCCATAACAAATCGAAATGTACATGTATCTTAGATTTACAGCTCACTGACTCCTTGCAATTGGAACACAGCCACAAACCAGCCACTAGAAAGAGAACATTTTCAGGATCCCAAGAACCTTCCTTTGTTCCCTTCATGTCTACCCTGAAGGTTATTTCTATTTAGGAAATTTCTTGAGACTTTCCTTTGAGGGCTACTGTAGGGAACAAATCAGGTAATAAGTAAGTTTAGTTTCTTTTAATACCTTTTTAACAAAGTGGTTTATCAGTGTCATCAGAGCATCGACCTTCTGTGATCAGTTTGGTTAATAGAGTTGATGACATTGAACATGTATGGCACTATTTTAAATTTTCTCCATAATCACAGAAAATATTCTTGAATTACTGTTTATGGCTGTCAGTTTATATTTTAGTGCAACATTTACTTTCCCTTCAGATAGCCTAATATAAAAGTGTACATTTGTGAAGAATATAATAATGGAAGCTAAGTCTCAATGATGAAAGTATATCTTCATTCTTCACACATACGGAATTTTCTATTGTTACAATATAAAAAAAAAGTGGCCAGGTGTCCTGATTTCCTGGATTACTCCCTATGTTTATGATATCTCCCAACTGTTTTTGCCAAGTGGATCAAAAGTTATATCAGCAGAGCCCCTGACTCTTCATTAAAGGAATACAATTCAAAAGTGGTATCAATGCTTTAATCATCAGATGTAGCATATTCTTTTCTAATTCGCAGCATGGTCATTTTCTCCAGAAACTTAAGGGTTAACCTTTTTTTTTTTTTTTTTTTGTCAATAGTTACAAAAAACTGTAGGAACTTCCATTTGTCCTTTAGATTTCATGAGGAGTATCTTGGTCCCAGGTGCTCTCAGAGATTGAAAAGGAACTGATATACCAATGGACATAGCCTCAGTGTAGCTATTCCAGCAACTCCCAGTGAACCTTGCATGGCTGCTTGAACCACTCAAGCAGTTACTTATACATGGTGGTCGAGAGGGGCAGGAGACGGAAGACTTCTATTGGGATATATTGTTGGCCCTTTCCATAGTCTAAGTACATAGACGGGAACTCTATAATCAACTCATTCCTATACAGTGCATGTTCCTATAAGGATCAGATGTATAGCAGAAGGAATGAAAAAAGACATTGTTTTCTGGAAGTAAAATATCTAAAAGAGGAAAAGACAAGCATTTGTTTAATGTCATCAGCTATGGACCTGATGACTTTCTTAGTTTTTCTTTTCAGGTCTGTAATTATTTTGATTTAAACTTACATGCAAGAGTTTGTCCAATAATTTGTTTTGTACTTTTCATATCTGTGTCTAAAACATGTTAAAACCTACTGGGAGGACCAAAGTTTTGGCAATACTGGTTACTGAGTGACCAAGTCTAACAATGGCGCCTGAAATTGCACCTTAGCTACTGTTTCAAGAACTGGGTCCTGGAGACAGGATCGTGATGGTGTTCGATAACATCCTTCAGAAGCTGCTGAGGGAATACGGGAGTGATGACACAAGGAACGTGAAGAAAGCAACGGAATATCTAAAAACATGCTGGATCGACCTCAAACAAAGGTAAACGCTAAGGCCCTGCCAGGTAACCGTGTGTTGTCAGGTGGAGAATTTGGTGGCTTTGGCTTTCTCATGGAAACATGCCAAAAAGTGAGAATACTGGAAGTACATTTTAGTGTGATTAAAAAATTTTTATGCTATTCTGATTGTTATCATACAGAGTGTATATTTATACAATATCTACTTGATTTTATACAATGGAGATTTTCCTTAAATAAGTCTAAACTTTGCCAGTGATTATTTATGTGTTCTGATTTTTCTTTTTTCTTATTTGGTCTCCTGGTGCTACCTAGAGTAAATCTTGTAGCTCCGTGATGCTAAGGAACACTCAGGTATGCACAGCTGCATTAGGATGATGGTAATCCTAAGGGTCATTAAAATAGTGGAATGTTTGGTCAGATTGCCTCAGTTGAGGCTGAGAACACATGGATCCAACTCTAGACTCCTAAACTATTCTGTGTGTAGTCAGGGCTTACTTGATGTATATATTCTTTTTATTACTCTGTCTAGTCAGTTTATTTAAACAGTGTTAAAATAGCATATGTGTTCATAAGAGAGAGATTTTCCTGTCACTTGAAGACCTAGGACTTGAAGACCTATAAAGAGTGGTTAGTATCTGTTTAAATTTGCATATTGATATTCACCATCAGTCAAGATGTGTTTACCTTCAGCACCCTTCAGGGAGCACCTTGCCTAAGGTAATTCGGTTTCACACACATCTTTACATATGCAAAAACAGCTGCCTGAAAGCTTCAAAGATATCCTAACACATTTGTTTTTCTGTAAATAAAATGGATAATATTAGAACACTTTACTATATACATTACTGGTAATAAAGTATGGTCAAGCATTTAATAACAGTTTGAAATGAAGGTGTTTTATACAATTTTAGAATGCCATTTTTAGTTATAATTTCTAAAGTGGAATTTTGGAAAACTCAGAGAGAATTATGAGGGCATTATATGAGCATGAAAACCCTAGGATTCTGGAGGAAATAAGACTGGGGTTGCAAATACAAAACTTCATAAGTGGTTAAAGCAGAACATAGCTATAATATTGATCTTTTTAGTGTTTTATACAACTGTTTTGTTGTAACAAGGTATTTGAGTATAGAAAGGATTCGAATCCAAGGCTGGGAAGAAGGTGAATTAAAAAAACAGACTTAAGATACAAATTCACAGTTATAAAATAAACTAAATGTAATGTGCATCATGGTGACTATAGTTAACAATAAATAATGTATTGTATAATTGAAAGTTGCTGAAAGGGTACATCTTAAAAGTTCTTATCACAAGAAAAGACATCTGTAACACTAGGAGACGTCCTTAATCATACTTCATCTGTTCCCCAAAATTCACATATAAGTTATGACTTTGTTCTTGCTGTAAACAATGCCCTCAAAATTGATCATGTAGAAATGTGTGGCCTGCTTTATTTAGCACCCCCAATTCTTTTTTTTTTTTTTTTTTTTTTTTTGCTTTTGCTTTGTAAATATTTTATGACAGACTCCAGCAGTAGTTAGATTAGATGGAAGACGCAATTAAAAATGAATTATATTCCAAGGTGATCTTTCATTTATCATAGTGAAGACAGCCACAGAGTTCCAACTTCATGGTGGTTACAAATAGATGTTCTTATTCTAGTTTCTTTCCCCTTTTTGGGGGAAAAGAACTAAGTATATATTCATATCTAGATATAATTTGGGTAAACTGTTATCTGTAAAGTAGGGAAAATTCAACACAACTGTGGCACATAGGGTCCTTTCATGAGTGACAGCTGGGGTTTCTGTGATTTGAGAGGATTTTCTCTTTTAAACATAATGACATTTATAATTTTGAACTGTTTTAATTGGAGAACTTTCTAAAATATATAAATCTATCCTAACCTTCTTAAACAAAGTGTATGAACCTGTAGTAAACATTTTTTGAATTCTTGGCATTATTGTAAAGATAGGATTAAGAACCATTAAATACTAGTTTAAATGAATTGTAAGTTTACATAAAGCTTTAATTTAAACCAGTATTTCTCAACCTTTTAAAAATTATTATTAACTCCCTAAGAAGCCTTTTTAGGTACCTTCCCTCCCTCATGAAATTTTAATACCATGGGTATATTATGTGTCTGTTTTTGTACTTTATAATTATGCTTTATACATAAAAAGAGTCATTCCTCCCCCCACCCCCCTCTTGCCCTCCACCTTACCCAGCTAAAGAATCACTTACTGCCTCCCTTAAGAATAAACTGGTGAATCTAATAAAATCAAGGGCATAGAAAGGGAGTGGACTGAAAATTCTTGGGGGGAAGGGGACATGAGGGGTGCGGGAAGAGATTGGACAAAAATATTACTTCTATGGATGAGGACAGTGGCAGGGGGTAAGGGCATGGAGTGGGGCGGAATCAGATGGAGGGGAGCTAGCTATGGGGGCGCGGGGGAAAGAGGAACATTTGTAATAATCTGAACAATAAAGTTTTATTTTAAAAAAAGAATGCATGGTCTAGGTCTAATCAGATGCTATAAGTCTCTGAGAAGTTTCAATGGCATGTTTAAAGTTTTGTAGCATAGCTAAGATGATATTTCTCTATACTAAATTATGATCATTTCCAAGTTCTGAAGAATTGGTAGTAAGTTTATTCAGGTTGCTATGTTTTGTGAGATTTTGTGCTTTATTTTTACCGTGTAAATTGTATTGAGTATCTTTTCGTTGTCAGGCACTGTGCTAAACTCTGCACAGGCATTCTTTTATTTAATCCTCACAACAGCCAGAGGAGACGGGCAGCGTTCCCCAACACTATGTCGCTGTTGAAACTGGAGCAGAGAGAAGTTAAGGAATACCCACCATCACCCAGCTCATACAGGCAGAGCTGGGACTGGAATCTAAGACGTTCTGTCTAGGCAGCAAGGCTCTTACCTTCTTTACTAATAGTTTTACCTTTCTTTGCTGTCAGAATGCCAGCTATCTCTGGTGACTGCTCCGTGTACTCACCTCGTGGATCTGTCCATGATTCCACTCCCTGGTTCTTACCTGTGTTGAGTTTAGAAGCCAGATCTGATTAAATATATGGGGCTTCTGTTATGAATAATGTTACACTCTCCAGTAGGTGGCCATTGTAATGGCTTCTGGGAGGCCTTGCACGGAGGCTCACCTCCTGCCTCCCAGCTGTATTCTTTTGTTGTTTGTTTTACAAATATAAACATATATTTTGTTGTTGACAGTATTACAGATGTCCCCATTTTCCCCTCCTTTGCCCCTCCCTGTCCAACTCCTGCCACACCCCAGGCCTTCGCCACACTATTATTGCCTGTGTCCATGGGCTGCGTATATACATACATTTCTAATATTTTAAAATCTTAAAGTGTGTGAACTTATTTTGAATTCTTGGCATTGTTGTTGTGAAGCTAGAGTTAAGGACCTTTAAGAGTTGTACATAAACTTACAGTTCATTTAAACCAATATTTCTCAACCTTTAAAAAATATTATTAACATCTTAAGAAGCCTTTTTTAGGTACTTTCCTTCATGAAATTTTAATACCATGAGTATACTGTGTGTGTCTGTTTCTGTACTTTATAGTTGTGCTTTATACATAGAGTCAACTTTTTCCCTTCTAAAGAATCACTTACTGCCTCCATTAAGAATGCATGGTCTGATCGGATGCTATAAGGCTCGGAGAAGTTTCAGTGACTTGTTTAGAGTTATTGTACATAGCATAGCTAATATGAGATTTCTCTGTACTTAAAATGATCGTTTCTGAGAATGAGGTGAAGGTGAAGAGGTAGAACTAATTTGTGGAAAGAACATTAGAAATGCTTGTTGTGAAGATGGACAAAGAGATTGAGTACTACCTGGAGGGTTTTTCTTTAGGGTGGGGACATGAGAAAGTATGGTTTTATGCTCATGGGAATGATCCAATAGAGGAGAGACTGATGATTCCAGACAGAGAACAAAGTAAGAGGAAAGAAAGTCCTAGAGTAGACTAGAAAGTGAAATCTGAACAGTTGGGTTTGGTAAGAGCTGGGGTGTGTTTTCCATTAGAACTGGAAGGACAATGAGGGGAAGAGTAGGGATGCATGTGGATTGGAGCCTTGGTAGGAAGATGAAAGGTTCTCTGTGCAGTGCTTCTGCTTTCTTTATGATCTGTGATGCATGCTGTCAGTGAGGCTGGAGGTGGGACTGAGAGATTTGAAGAAAGAAGGTCAGATATAAAATGAGAATTCTGGTGTGTGGGACAGAGAGCTTTCTCAGTGTCTTTACAGCATTGCTGGGCAGTGCCGATGCCTGCTTGTGGTTTATGATAATAAATGCACAGGGAAGATAGACCTGTGTATCGTTCTTCAGCAGTGTTATCTACTCAGAGACAAATAGAAAGAATGCAGATGAAAAATAGGGGACAGAGCAGAGGAAGGTGTTTATAAGGAAGTAGAGACCAGGATTACCTCCACTCCATAATGACGTCTCTAGTGTCTTTCCCTGGTGATGCAGTCCCTCACTGGAGTCTGTGGCTTGCTCAGAAGACCTTGAGTTGGATTTCAGACCATTTAACTGTTGAGACAATGAGCAACCTTTATAACCACTTGCAGTGACCACAGACCTAGAGGTAAGGATTTGAACATAATAGATAAAAGTCTTATGTTTTGAAAGAGTAGACTTTTGCCAGGAAGAGAAAACAATGGCCAGAATTAGTAAAGAAAAGCAAAGACAAGGACCCTTAGTCCAGCTCCTCAATCCGAAGAAGATAGGGTCTGAGAGAAACAAGAAAAAAACTTCATTAAAGCTTTCAGGGGAATTGATGGCCTTAGGGAAAACAATTTTCATTATGATAAGGTGAAGGGATTGGTCTGTGGAGTCTGCCCAACACAGAATAGAGTTGTGGCATAACAGAAGGGTTTTGAGGGTGGATTTTGGCAAATTGGGAAAGGTGAAGAGTAGCATTTGAGTTACAGTCTAATGGTTGGCCAATAAAGGCCCAATGTTGAGTAGTGATTTAGCTAAAAAGGAAATAGGAT